GTTGTATTTCTTTGTGGTTTACTGACTGGAGATAGAATATTTATGAACCGCCAGACATACAGCTGGCTAGGGACTGTCCTTTATCTCTGCTCAGTTAAAATAAGCTCCAGGTATAGTTTCTCCTGGAGAGACGACCCACAGGGGCGGGGGTGTGGAGGGAGAGGGGAGAGGGCGGGGCTCCAGGATCCTGGTCGTCACTTACCCACCCCGGTGAGGTAGAGCAGAGCTTGGACTGGTGGGGCCTTGAGTCTGTAGTATGAAATCCGAACCTACGGGACAGCAGGAGAACAGTAATGACTTCTTTTAGTCACTCAACAAACACTGATGGGACCTCTGTTAATGTCAGCTCAGGGCAGGGCACTGGGGAGACCAAGGTGGGCAAGAACCGGTCTCAGCCTGTGAGGAGCACCCCCGCGTGATGGGAGTGGAGGGATGGCAGAAAGCTGAAATGACTGATGCCACGGAAGGGGGCTGTGGGGGGTCCAGGAATGGAGGGACTCGCTCTGCCCGGGGTGGGGGTGGTGGCGGCAGGGAGGGTGTCAGGAAGGGGCACACTTGGAGGTAGAGCTTGGAAGGGGAGCAGGGGCTCAGCAGCTGGAGGAGGCGTTAGAGGGAGACAGCTGCTGATGAGCCACGGAACTGACTCCGGCAGCAGGAGGGATGGGGGGTGGGGGGAAGACCTGAAGAGCCAGAGCGCGTGGGGACTGGGGCGCAGGGGCCTGTGTGCACACAGGAGCTTAGGCCGGGTGGCCGTCTCTTCGGGGCAGGTGCTGTGAGATGACAAAGCGCCGGCCCCTCCGCCCCGGGTTAAGGTGCAGGGAGAGCGCGGGGATGGCCCAGGCTGGCCGCGGGGCGCGGGGCGTCTGCACTGACCGTCCCGGCAAACAGGCGGCGGCGGGGACTTCCCCAAAGCACAACCAAAGAGCCGCCCCGGAAGAAGAGGAGCGCCCAAGGGGACGCGCTGGGGCCTCTGGACCGGTCCTGCAGACAGCGGGGATCCAGGGAGGTGCCACAGCCGTCGTTGTCGCTCGGTCTGGACCGTGGCATGGGCCTCTGCCTGGGCTCCCCGCCTCCCGCCTACGCCCCAGACCAGTTGCTCGCTGGCTGCAGCCCCTGGGCTCCTCCTAAAACACAAATGCGCTCCCCTTGCTCCCTGGCTGAAAACTTTCTGTTGCCCTCAGAAAATGAGGTCCCTGCTACCAGCCCGTTCTCCTGGCTCCCTCTCTCCCTCACCGCCCCCTCCACCTTCCTTTCTTGCCCTACAGAACTTCCTCAGTTTCCCCATCACGTGTCTCACGCTGTCCTCATCTGGAGTGTGCACGGCCGCCAGCTCTGCGCAGAGCCCTCTCTCCTCTCTCCCTCTCTTAGGTGGGGCGTTCGTGCCGTCCTCAGCTGGCTGCTTCTTCCAGGACGTGCTCCCCGACCACGTCCCCCACAGCCCGCCTGGGCACTCGGGCTCCGTGTCCCCCCAGGGAGGAGCCTGCGTGGCCTGTTCTCCTGGGAGCAAGTGGCCATCGGCCCAGAGGTCTGCGGGAACTCCAGAGGCCCCTGTTGAGCCCCTCTGTTGTCAAAGCGGGTGTAGTAGGTTGAATGTTGGTCCCCAAGAAGATACATCCATGTCCCAACCCCTGGAACCTGTGAATGTGACCTTATTTGGGAAAAAAGTCTCTCTGCAGATGTACGTTAAGTGCCTTGAGATGGGCCCTAAATCCAGTGACAAGCGTCCCTGTAAGAGAGGCAGAGGGAGGTTTCCCAGAGAAGGGGCGGAGGCAGTGTGACCACAGAGGCAGAGACTGGAGGGATGCAGCCACCGTCCTGGAACGGGACAGCCCCCGGAAGCTGCAAGAGGCAAGAACCGATTAACCTCTGGAGCCCTGGAGGGAATCGCGCCCTGCGGACCCCTTGATTTCACACTGTGTCCTCCAGAACCGTGAGAGAACGCGTGCTGTGGTTTTCGCCTGACTGTGGTAATCTGCTGTGGCAGCCACAGGAAACAGGTACAGGACCAGGTGCACCACTGGTAGTTGCTTATCTACCTGAATATTATCAGATGCCTCCACTTACAGGCTGTAAATCCCACGAGAGCTGCAACCTCATCTGTCTTATTCATTTCTGTATTCCCAGCGTCTGGCAGTGCCTGGCATGTGTTAGGCGCTTAGTAAACATTTGCTAAATGGATGATTAATCAAGACCCTGGCCTCCATAAACCCCTGGCGGCTCTGTCGTCTGCGAGATGCAATGGCTCAAGCAAGCCATCCCGACCTTTTCCAGGGGGAAGGAGGCTCTGCACGGCTCGTGCCGAGGACCAAGGCAGGACAGACTGTGAGCAGCTGCCGCCCAGCTGATGTCCCTCCACACTGCCACCCAGCTACCACGCTCACCTTCTGGTCGTCTGTGCTACTGCTGGCAGCTGTCATTTTCAGGGTCACCTCCAGCCCAGGGTCCAGGGGCCATTTGGAGGAGCCTGTGGGATTCATCTTGGCTGGAGGGCTGTGGGCAACATCTACGACCACTCCTGGGGACGCGCTGATGCTGAAGGACGTGCAGTCCTCAGGGGCAGAGCTGTGGAGGAGACAGAGGGACACAGTGAGGAAGGGCCTGGGCCCCCACGGCTCTCCGCGGCATTCCTTCGCTTCCCAACAGGTATAAACGCCAGGCACAGCCAGTGCTCGCTCTGACCATGTGAGTAAGTACTGTGAGGTTGTCAGGAGGCGAAGAGAGAAACAGAAAGAGAACCCCCTGACCTGGAGGGCACACACTTGACCTAGAAAGATAGCAGAGGGATGTGCACACCAAACACTCACACACAGGGATGTATGCAGAGAGCGACGTGCACATCCAGAGGTTTCCACTACACCAATACGCACACGCAGAATTGTGCACATACAAAAAACCCACCAGACTTCTGCTTCTGGAATTGTGGCAGACCAGATACTCTGAAGGACCTTCCTTTTACAAAAATAGCTGGATCATGGATAAAATATACTTTGTAAAGCATTGCTGAGCTCATGAGAAGTAAGATGAATCTTCGAGGACTAGCCTTCTCCGCACGCACACGCACACACACGCAAACACAAGCACGCACGTGCACACGCACGGTGGTTCAAGTGGAGAACACTGAAGACAAAGAGAAGATCTTAAAGGAATCCGAAAAAAAGTTGGAGTACCTATACAGGCACGGCCATTAGATTGAAAACAGATTTGTCAATAGCAATCGTGAAATCTGGAAGACAGCTGAATACTGCTTTCACAGTATTGTCAGAAAAGAACTATTAACCTAGAATTGTACACCCCCCCAAAAAGAGATATTTTCATATGAACAGAAATTGATACTTTAAAATCGACAGATTTTCACCAAAGCAACTTCTGAAGGCATAGTTTAAGAAGAAGGTATCTGATTCCATAAAGCATGGTCTGAGATGCAGGAAAGAATGGTGAACATATAAAATGGTAACTATTTTGGTAAATCTAAACAAACATGTGTATACGAAAAGCCATAAAAATATCAAAATTGTGCGATAAAAAGGGGGCAGAATGTAAATTGGCAGGGGTATGATGAGATTTGTCTGAGGTCCTTGACTGAGCGGGAATTAAGATAATGTGTAATTCTAGATTGTATAGGGTTAAACTTTTTTATGGTTAAAATACAAAAGTATTCGCCAAAAGAATAGAAATGGAGTTCACGTGGGAAAAAGACAATCATAAGAAAATGAACAGAAAAACCCCATTCAAAAAAGGCAACATAGAAAAAATTGGACAAATAAAAGTGAAAAAGGAATTGGTAAAAGCCAATACAAATATATAAATAATCAAAATAAATATAAATGGATTAATATTACCAGTAAAAGAGAGTTTTAGATTAAAGAAACAAAATATAGCTACATGCTATTTACAAGAAACACACCTAAAATATCAGCACCCAGAAAAGGAAAAGATTTTTTAAAAAGGAAAAATGATACATCAAGAAAATATTAACCAAAAGAGAGCTGGAGGTGGATATATTAATATCAAAACAATAAATTATTAGATAAAACACATTATTATCAATAGAGAGGACTACAAGCCAATAACACAAGGTTTAACTCACCTAGAAGATACTCTATAATAAACTTGTATGCACCTGATAACAGCCTCAATGTATATAAAGCAAAAATTGTTAGAAGTACAGGGAGAAGTTGACAGAACTACCATCATAGTTGAAGATTTCAACTCTTCCTTCTCAATTAACAATAGATTAAGCAGACAAAAAATTAGTAATGATATACAAGATTTTGCTAACACAATTAACAAGCTTGATTTAGTGGACATATATAGAATCCCACAACTAGCAGATATACATTTTCCCAAGCAAAGCACACATGGGTCATTAAAAAAATTGACTATGTAATTAGCCATAAAGCAAGTTTCAACAAATGTTAAAGAATAGGTAATATACAGGTAGCATATTCTTTGATCACAATGTAACTAAGTTAGAAGTCACTAACATAAAGTACATCTTTAAAAACCCCATACCTTTTGAAATTTAAAACCAGACTTCTCAATAACTGTCAAAGGATAATTAAAAATGGAAATTAAGTAATAATACTTAAAATACTTAAGCGATAATTAAAATACTATTTTCAAAACTTTAGGGGAGGTGTGAAAGTGGTACTTTGTACCTTGCAAGTTTGTATTTTTTAAAAAGGAAAGTAAAAGCTGAAAATAAAGAAAATAGAAAATATACTGTAACTTCTCAAAATAAAGAAAACAAAGATGGCAGAAACCTATCACCTAGAAAGCAAGTCAATCAATGAAGCCAAAAGTTGGTTTTTGGAATACACTAATAAAACTGACACATCTCTGGCAAGATTGACCAAGGGAAAAAGTATTAGGGAAGTAAAAAGAAACATCACTACAGGTAAAGCAGATTTTTTTCTATAGAGAATTGATAAAAGGTAAATGAAACACCCAACGCAAACATCCTATGTAACAGTGAAAATGTGAAATCCTCCCCTTTAAGATCAGGAACATGCTACGGATGCCCACGCTCACCACATCTTTTCAACATTGGATAGGCAGTTCTAGCCACTGCATCAAGAGAAGGATAGTAAACACTATAAAGACTGAAAAGTAAGCAAAAACCTGCCAATATTTGCAGACAATATAGTTGTCTGCAAACCTCAAAAGAAAAAATTAAAATTTTTTTAAAAATCAAAATGAAATAAATTAAAAAGGCAAATAGAATTTAATAAGGTGGCTAGTAGGGTCAAGACAAAAAATTCAATTACATTTGTATACACCAGCAATACATAGCTAGAAAACACAATTTTTAAAAACAGATTTAATTTACAATAGGAAAAAATACTATAAATTACCTAAGGTAAATCTAACAAAAGATGTGTAAGATGTTAATGGAGAAAATGATCAAACCTTATTGAGAGCCATTATAGAAGACCCACATAAATAGAAAGAAATAGCACATGTGTTATTAGCAAGGCTTATGGTCACAACGGTGTGAGTCCTCTCCGAATGCCTTTATATATTCAATGGAGCTCCAGGGTTTGTCATGGAACTTGACAAGTTGATTTTATAATTTACATGGAAAACAAATGGGCTAAGATAGTCAAGGTATTCAAAAGGTGAGGCACTTACTCTACCAGGTATAAGACTTATGATTAAGTATAAAGCCATGGAAATTAAGATGGGTCATAATGGCTCAAGTCAAGACAAAGGAAGGATGAAACTTAAAAGAGATCTCGCTTGATCTACGAGAGAATGGTCTTGCAGTGACCAGGGCACGGTGGAGACTGCATTATAAATGCTGAGACAATTGCTCATTCATATGGAAAATGACTAAATTGGGTAAATAATAAAAGAACTAAATTGATCCCAGCCTCACACCATACACGAAAATCAGCTCTGGGCAGATAAAGGCAGAACTTTGAATCTTTTAAAAGAAGATGCAGGAGAACATCTTTATGCTCTTTCTGAAACAAGACACAAAACCAATGGACATGAAGGAAAAGCTTGAAAAATTCAACTAGATGAAAATAAGTAACTTCTGTCCATCAGAAGACACCATAAAGTGAAAAGACAAGCACAAGCTAAGGAGAAAACACATTCACAACGTAAAACTGGCAAAGGCTCAGCATGCCTTTGGGTGAGCTTGGACGTGGCACCTGCCCCAGTCAAGCCTTAACATGACCACAGTTCCGCTGACCTTGACTGTCAGAGACTTTGGGGCAGAGGACACAGCTAAGCCATACCAGGTTTCCTACCTATAGAAACTATGAGATAATAAATGTTGTTTTGAGCCACCAAGTTTTGGGGCAATTTGTTGCACACCAATAGATAACTAATCCAGTGTACCAAAAGAAAGACAGGAGGGAGGGGGAGCTGGGGAGAGAGAGAGAAAAAAAGAAAGAAAGAGAAAGAAAGGAAGGGAGAGAGGGAGAAAGAAAGAAGAGAGAGAGAGAAAAAAGAAAGAATAAAGAGGCCGGGCGTGGTGGCTCACACCTGTAATCCTAGCTGGGAGGCCGAGGGGGGAGGATCACTTGAGCTCAGGAGTTTGAGACCAGCCTGAGCAAGGGTGAGACCCTGTCTCTACCAAAAATAAAAAGAAATTAGCTGGGCATGGTGGCGCATGCCTGTAGTCTCAGCTACTTGGGAGGCTGAGGCAGGAGTATCGCTTGAGCCCAGGAGTTTGAGGTCGCTGTCAGCTATGATGATGCCACAGCACTCTAGCTGGGGTGACAGAGGGAGACTCTGTCTTAAAAAAAAAGAAAAGAAAAGAAAAAGAAAAAGGAAGGAAGAAAGACACAAATTGCGTAGAAGAAAATTAATCTTACCACTTAGAGACAATCACTAACACTTTGTTATTATCCTTCAGGAGATAAAATTTTGACATAAACTTTGAAAAACCAAAGAGATCTGAAGACGATGAAAAGGAGGATTCTTTTCCCCCTGATTTTATTTCGTTTACTGCTCGCCCTGGCGGGGACCCTCATCCCAGCCCCATGAAGTCAACTTCAAATTCTCGGGCCACAGTGATCGTTCAGAGAGCACTTGCTCTGCTCCAGGCACTGTTCAGGTTCTCTTCATAAATGAACTCATTCAGCTCTCACCGCCAGCCTGTAAGGCAGGCACTGTCATCATCTCCATTTTACAGACGAGGAAACCGAGGCGCAGAGGCAGGAGGGGCAGAGTCAAAGAAGATATAGTGATGAAGCAGAGGCTGGGGCTGGAGCGATGCTGTTGCTGGAAGGGGCCGCGAGCCAAGGAGTGCAGGTGGCTTCTAGAAGCCTCAAAAGGCAAGAACTGCGTCCTCCACCGGAGCCTCCAGGAGGGACGCAGCCCTGCCGACACCTCGGTTTAAGGACCGTGAGACCCATTTTTGGACTTCTGATCTGCAGAACTGTAAGGCAATAAATCTGTGCTATTTGAAGTCATTAAGTTTGTGGCAATTTGTTACGGCAGCAACGGGAAACTGATACACTCTCCATCTGTGCGTGCCGCTCACTCGAACTTAGGTAAACTCTGCTCTCTCAGGGATGTCAAGGCTGGGAACTGAAAAAGTTGCAGGT